CGCATTGCATAGAGCAGAACAAAGGGTAATTACAACCCCTCAAAACTATTACTTACTTGTCCTAGCAATCAGTGGATACATATAAACGAGTTGTTAAGACTCTTACGACAGGATATACGCATGGGCATAGTCGAACCAGAACAGCGTCTCGTTATCAACTACAAGAAATCAACAGAGAAAATCTTTCTCGATACATTACATTAAGTACTGACAGTTTGCGGGAATATTGGGCCTGGACGCATACTCTATATACCTCTAGCACTTGCCGCCAAGATGAATCCACTTGGTGACCTCGAAACGAAGGACATTGAAAAGCTTTATGTCGTTGTAGAAGGAAGACGTGCTGACTGTCATCGGCCATTGCCAATCGTCATGGATCTCGTCTACTGCTCCGGCGTGCCTTTACCATTGGATTTCAACTCTTCATATGGTGGTATTTCGCACAATTATGATGATGTACAGGAGATAGAGTTTGATGATAAAATTCCCCCAGAACAATGGCCCTGGAGACGTGACCTCCAGCTCTCAGAGCTTTACGGGCGGCTGAACTTGTATGCAAAGATCTTGAAGGCGCGGAAATATTGGAAGATGACAGATAAAATGTTGTAAGGAGAATTGTATGAATTACTTGCTGCCCTTATGCATAACCAGCCGGAGATAGAACGAATCAAGTCAATGTGCAAAACGGGAACCCAATTGTGCTTGCCACTGTATTGTAGAGCAACATATTATAGATAAATAGAAGAGCACAGGCGCAGGACACTTGGCAGTCTTATATTGGCACAGAAAGTAACTGCCGCGATCGAGAAACGATGTGACTGGCTTAACAATACTTACTTAGACTGAGACCAAAACTCATAATCGTACCTCGTACACTGTACCTAGGACGGGTTCAAACCCACAGTCGCTAACACCACCATCCAAGCCTTCCATCACAGTCCTTAGCTTATCAAGGTTCTGGAGACAGCTTAGCGTTTAGGAAGGATCAAGCTATTCGCCCAAAGTCATCTCGCCTACAGCCTCAATTGTCGAGGGTAGTCGCAAAGCCCATAAACAGTCACAGAATTTCGTCAGCCGATTTCATAAAGGTGCTTAAGCATAATTGGTTCCACTAAAGAGAGAAAGACAATATAGTACTCAGACGGTCACCTAGAAAAGATCGCATCCTATGTTGTCGTCATCCCATAACGGCCGTCTATAGCAGATTAAGGTTTGACAGATAAAAGCCCAAGGACTTTAGCTACTCTATAGAAACTTTAGTCAAGGGTAAGTCTCCGCTTTCAGCTTCCAGAACTAACCAAAACATTATGATCCTCGATCAATAAATGTAAATGCTATGTGACAGTCCTCCATAGTCGCCTCCGTGTCCAAACGAGTTGCCATGCTCCAGAAGTCCATCATTATGGTTCAGACTAGCTCCCTCGCCTTGCTCTTGCCAGCTGCCACTCTATGTCTGAGCAGTCTAGAGTTGGGAAATTAGACTCTCCAGCGTCTCAATTTCTCCCTAATTATAGTCAATGAGCGTTGCTAAAGCCATGCCACAGGCCAGATCCCCAACTATGCCTTACCCTCGGTACACTGCCTAATGTCAGCCTTAGTCTCGACAAGCACGGCCGTTAGCTCATAGTATAACGTCCCGTGTACAGACTAATTGAAAGTTCACGATTATCAAAGCGATGCTACAAAGTGATAAGGCTGAGGCTGATCAAATGGCTTCTCAAGGCGATATAGTAGAAGCTACGCCGCCTGAGTACAACGTCACTAAGACCTTCCCTCCACGTGGTGACTGGAAATAGTATCGGCTTGCTGTAAGCTTGAAGTTTTCCTACAGCCAGTACAAAACGTCCAAAACTTCAAAGCTCATTCTACTGCCAAGCTTATGCGATTGTGGCCTGCAAGCCACAAACGTCGTGTTGGCGCTAACAGAGCTGTATGCCGTCATGGCGCTGTGTCCCAGACTCAAAGGTCAGGAAGGGTTGGCGAAAGTAAGACACACATACGCCACAAAGACCGGAAGTAATGATAGTGATGCCCCGACACATCCTGGGGTTACGGTTCGGTGCTATCTTATATCAAATCAACTCGACATGAAATTTCGGCACCATCTCACCAAGCACTTGCATATTGAATCAGAAAATGCTACTATCCACGGTAGGTCATAGGACCCTGAAGCATCCCAAGACGTCCCTGGCGCAGATGATGCAGCGCTTTCACTGTATCCTCGGCCCGCCGGCGATGCTACCAACATCAGATTCATCATTATTCGGGTCAGAGAACCTCTATCAGAAGATCAACTAAGCTGGCTGGGCGATCACCGAGTCAGAATTCAGTGTCGCGTCGACTCCATGACTTTTTTCTGTAAATTTGAACCCGATGGTCTTGTCCTATTACGACAGCAGCCATTCATCAGCCATGCGGATGTTTATCATAATTGCTGGAAGGTTCCACCAAATCTCGATGTCTCTAGATTCGGCAGCTCGCAGCGTGGCTTCGTATCTATTGAGCTGTAAACAGTTCCCATCATTATCGAGCTCCATGCTAGCCCAGCACGCAGCGGTCAGCAAGTTCTCGATAGACTTATCAGTAATAAATTGGTAGATCCAGCGTATACGATCCTATTCTAAAACTGCATCAAGGCTATAACAAATATACGCGAGATTCAGGCCATTACAGCTAATACGATGTGCGTACGATTGACTACGCTTACAATGAACGGCCCTATGTCACCGTTGCGTGCGACCTACTCACCTATCCTATTGATGAACTTAATTTGGCTGAAAAGGGGCTGTAGGGTATGCCAGTAACGCTAAACAGTGAAGCTAAGGTCATCAGCATTGTGGACACTGATTTCGACCAGGGTGACATCAACGATATACACCCAGCATTTTCGACGACACAATGTAAAGCCCTTTATACACTTCAACCTCATGGCAACTTGCTAGGCTCAAGGGCTGTCGATGACATAAGTGGCTACGGTACCTGTGTCACAGGCTGTGCGTTGGCTAACGGCGAGCCGTTAACAATAGGTAGTGTCAATGCCAACCAAAATGGAAGAATTTGTAGACCTACTTACGGTGCTGGCTTCATGATAACGCAGAACTGTAACCGCTTCGGGGATATTCTTACCTACGATTTCGCGGAATTTATTGATAGACCATACCATAAGCATGGTTGTCGCGTCTCCAATCACTCGTATGGACCATCCTTGAAACCATTACAACAGCTTTCCTCGTATGATGCTCGCAATACTGAAGTTGAGGCCTACCTGTCCGCACATCCAGATCTTGTCGTTATATGGTCATCTGGTAATGATGGTAAGGTGAAAGCTGCTTCAAGATTTGGCAAAATCAGCGGTCATACTACATCTAAGAATATAATTACTGTCGGCGCCATACTGAGCGCCCATCGTATCGACATCAACCATTATAGTCCTACCGTAGCCGAGGCTGACACTTATGCTATGTCCAGTACAAGCAGCTGTAGACCAACACAAGACAGGCGCTTTAAGCCTGATGTATGCCCTAGGACGTGTTATACTGTCCGCCCGTTCGCGTCACTCAGCCGACGAGGACATTTTTGGTCCCTCTTCAGACACGAGTTACAATTGGAACACCGGCACGAGTATGGCGGCGCCCACAGTCGCTAGTTGTGCAGCTGTTCTGCGGCTAGCTCTTCGACAGTGCAAGATCTTGGCACCGACAGGTGCCCTGATCAAAGCCCTTCGTGAGTAGATTGTCCTCTTGTCCTTTCGTATCACTCGGTTTCCTCTAGCTACCTGCATATAAGCTGGAAGCTAACTCAGATCAAAAAGTGGTCAATGGCGCTATGGACATCATGCGCGAGCTTGGACAGCAACCACAAATCCCCAACAGCCTACAAAGCTTTGGCCGCGTTAGATCTCTACACATGGTCCTCGTCGGCACCTTGGCAGACAATGCCAGAAGCTCCGCTAAGCTACCGCATGGCAGGTTCTTCAAATGACGTTCGTGGTACCATGCAAGACAACACTACCCGCAAAGTGCATTTAGGTGGGATTTTAATGATATACCTACAAAGAGTATTTTGGTGCATTTTCAATGATATACCTACAAACCACTTTCTAGTGCATTTTCTATAATATACCTATTTGGTGTAAATTCAATAATATACCTACAACATATATTTAGGTGCGATTTCAATAATATTTTTTTAAGTGAGATTTTAATGATATACCTACAAAGCGCATTTTGGTGTGTTTTTGATAATATACCTACAATATGCATTTTGGTGCATCTTCGATGATATACCCACAACGTGCATTTAGGTGGGATTATAATGGTATACCCACAGAGTGCATTTTGGTGCATTTTCGATGATATACCTATTTGGTGCAAATTCAATGATATACCTACAAACTGCTTTTTGGTGAGATTTCTATGATAACTTACAAAGCATTTTTTGGTGCATTTTCAATGATTTATCCACAAAGCACGTTTGAGTGTAACTCTAATGATATACCCACAAAGCATAAGTAGGTGTGATTTCAATGACATACCCATTTCGTGCAAATCTATTCACATAGTCTACGTCAAAGGTAGAGAGAAGAAAGAGAAACGCGGCATTTCCTAGATGACGATGCTGAGAGGCTAGCTGCTAGTAGCTATCATGACTAATTTGGGATAAGTGTCAGATTTCTGCAGTATATACTGACCTTGTCATAGATAATTCGGCTTCACGCTAACTGTTTTACGGCTACAAGAGTCTCTGATTGGCTAATACTTTGTTCTTTGAGCCCGCATCTCGACATCAACACGATACGAAATCGGACGGGTCGCGGGTCTGTGGAAAGTGCTCTGAGAAGTGGGAAGTTGATGATATAAAAGGGGGTTAATCTTCGGTGTCCAATGGAGGTGGCCTTTTTGTTCATATTATTAGAAACTAAGAATATCAATTGAAAGGCCAAACCTACTTGATTCGAGAACTATTTTACAGCAACCTAGGATATAACGGAGATACCAGAGATGGCTACTCACCTTGCAGCCGTCTTCCTCGCCCAAGGCCAAAGGTTCGAGATCCAGTCCCGTTCTACGCCAAACCCAGGTCCAGGCGAGCTCCTCATCGCCGTCAAGTCTGTAGCCCTCAACCCAGCAGACGGAATCATGCGAAAGGACGGCCGATTTATTTCCAAGTACCCCACCATCATCGGGTTCGATGTCTCTGGCTTAGTTCTCGAGGTTGGTGATGGCGTCCCGACTGGTGACGATGTTGCATCGGGTATCTCCTTTCACCCGGGCATCACCCACGTGGCCGCATACGCAGCCTGGATCTGGAAGGCGAGCGACCCCGACTATGGTGTCTTCCAGGAACGGTGTCTCGTCCCTTGGCAGCATTCAGTTCCACTGCCAGACGATAATATGTCCTGGAACGAGGCCGTAGCCTTGTCTGTGGCTGTCCAGGTCGCTCTCAGTGCGTGGGATGGCCTGGGCTTCCCTCGGCAGTGGGGGACACCCGCTTCTACTGATGCGGGTCCCATTGAAAAACCATACGACGAGGCCACCAACCCTAAAGAGGCACTCCTCATCTGGGGTGCATCTTTTAGTGTTGGTACCATGGGTGTGCAGAGCGTACGATTGATGCGGGAAAACTCGAACTCCTTAATTGCCGCAGTGTATGCGACGGCCGGGTCCGCGAACAAGTCGTACATCGCCTCACTCGGTGCAGACCGTGTGTTTGACTATAAAGATCCTAGTGTCGTGGACGCAATCACTTCTGCAGCCAAGGAAGATGAACTGGTGATCCGGCACTGCTATCTCGCCACCAGGCAGCTGGCGCCTTGTCAGGCAGTGCTCAAATCTTTTTCTCAGCTATAACGATGGAGGAGATGAAATAGATGTATCAAAGATTGGATCCGCACCCATTGTTCCGGCGGATGCCGAGGTAGTGGAAGGAATTGAGACCATCTTCCTAATGCCGGTTATGGATGATGAAGGGAAAAGGCAAGAGCAATTCAAATACTGGATAGGAACCTGGCTGCGGGAGAACTTGGCTACAGGAGACATCAAGCCAAGCCCGGAACCGAAGGTTGTGGGGAATGGACTGGAGGCTATCAACGCGGGGTTGGATATGATTGTCCAGGGGGTAAGTTGTATGAAGCTGGTTGTTGAAATTGAGGAGTAAGAGCCCTAGGAGGCGAGAATGAGTCTGGGAGAACACTCTTTTTCTAGAGTATTGCTGCAGATTCATCGTCACCATAGTTAACGAGGTGATAGTGTCGATAGATCTTAAAACTAAATAGTGAATTATACCAGCTGTCTCAGGTGTCTTATAACGATTTCAATGATATACCTACAAACCACTTTTTGGTGCATTTTCTATGATATACTCATTTGGTGTAAATTTAATGATATACCCACAACATACATTTGGGTGCGATTTCAATAACACATTTCTCAGTGTATTTTTAATGATATACCGGCAAACCGCTTTTTGGTGGGATTTCTATGATATACTCACAAAGCATTTTTTGGTATATTTCTAATGATATATCCACAAAGTATGTTTGAGTGGATTTTCAATAATATACCTATAGAGCATAAGTAGGTGTGATTTCAATGACATATCCATTTGGTGCAAATTCAATGATGTACCCACAAACCACTTTCTGGTGGATTTTTTATAATATACCCATTTGGTGCAATTCTAATGATATACCCACAAGAGACATTTGGGTGCGACTTCAATGACACGTTTTAGGGATATCGAATCTACACTCGGCAGTTGCCACTTTCAATTCTACATGCTCCCCATCAATCACATCAATCATTTATAAGTATTCAAAGCTATAAAATAAGTCACAAAGGTCCCAAGTGTTCATTTAAATTAGAATCAATTGATCTATCAGCTATCGCATGGTCAATGATCCCACCGAGGTATGTGACCTCAAACCTTCCTGACACTGATTCTGCCGGGGAATGCACTTTCAATGCGCTGTATCTGGAAACACTCTCCTGTCTCGTGTGATGGACAGGGGGTGTAAAGCAGATCGGGAAAATCGGTTAGGCCATTCTCCAGGACTTGATCGAGGCAATACCACTCCCCAGCCGGCGCGTTGTGTAGGAATTGCTCAAAGTTTCCACGCAACCGGTCATCCAGTGTATAGGCGACGATATTCCAGTACACTTCACGCACATCTGGCACAGAGTTCGTCTGCTCGATACACAAGGCGGTCAGTTCGGCCGAGACCTTATGCACGATCTGTTCCCACGGCGATGCCTCTGAATCCGAGCCTAGCGCAGACATGGACAGCGCTCGTGGTAGGCTCTGTTGCACCTGGCGCAATCCTCGTGCTTGGAGGTTGTTGTTCTCTTTGAGTAGAGTGTCTCTCTCCGCTGTTACCTTCAGTAGCTCACGAGCTTTGGTCATCTTGTTATGTGCCTCGTTGGTTGCTCTAGTTTCAGCCACCGAGAGGTCCTTCTCTAGAACCTTGACTTCCTTCCTATACTGGTCGATTTCCGCCTGCAGTGTTTTTGCGCGATTGATCTCTGCGTCCCTCTCAATGGTAATATCAATCACAGCTTCTTGTTGAGCCTTGATCTGATCATTCAATGAGTTAATATGCTGATCTCGCTCTTCCGTCATCTGTTGTGATGCCGATTGCGAAGACTCTCTCAGCTCCTTAAGCCGATCGCGCTCGTCGGCTGCCTCCTTCAATCTCTCGTGTGTCCAAGCGGAATCGTCGCTAATGTACTCGTTGCGCTCACGGAGACTCGCGACTTCAATTTTGAGGTCAGTCAGTTCCTCTGACAGTTCGCTTTTGCTTTTCTCTAGATCGGCGATTGTGACTCGGAAGGCATTGACGTCGCTTGACATGGTCTCCAGAATGTCATTGTTGTTGGAGACCATCTTGATCGCCTCGCCGCCTTTGACGACAATCGCTTGGACTTGGTTGAGAATGGCTGACGTATTCTTCTTCACCGTCTCGACGTCCGCAACTTCCTTGACAAGCTCAGTTTGTCGTTGCTCGAGGCGTGCTTCGCCGTCCTTGAGATGCTCTAGACTCTGTTTGCATTCAACCTCTCGTTGATTGATGGCAATCTCTCGATCATGTAGGTTCTTTTCTTTCTCATCAAGAGCTTCTTGCCTGGTTCGGGTTTGCTCTTGAGACAATTTAACAAGGTCACTCTTTCTGACCAAGTCATTCGACCTGTCTTCGAGACCCTTTTCGAAGTCCGTCAATTTCTGTGCTCTTTGTTCCAGTTCCCTTTCCCTCTTCTCGACTTGGCTTTTTTGAGTCTCTAGCGTTTCCCGAGCTTTCTGAACCTTGCCCGACCACTCAGATACTTCAAGGGCCTGGCGATGATGTTCGTCTTTTATCTCGTCAATCTCCGCAAGTTTCGTCAGGTGAGTTTCAAGGTCCTGATCATAGCTCTCACGCTGTTGGTCCACAATTTTCTGCGATTCACACAGCTTCTCTCTTTGTGTAGCTAAATCTTCAATGGCACGGTGTACCGTTTGCTCATGAGATTGCTGAAGTTTGAGGGTCTCAGTGGTAAACCCTTCGATTGCTGTTCGAACGACATCCTCCTGAGTGTGCCGGATCTTCTCTCTTTCAGTGGATAAATCTGTGACGGTGCTTCGAAGCACTTTGTCTTGCGCCTCGCGCAGCTTCTCGTTCTCCGCGGTGAGGCTCGTAACGGTGGACCGAAAAGCTTCCAGCTCCATGCTCAGCTGCTGTTCCTTTTCGGCCAGCTTCTCCTCTTTGCTTCGTAGCCGCTCTTCATCTTGTGCGAGGGTAGCTTTGCGATCTTCTAGGGTTGTTTGCTCAGCCTCGACGTTGTCGATTCTGGCCTGCAGGTCCATTTCGGAGTCGGAGAGCTGTTGCGCCTTCGATTCGAGTTCAGCGCGCGTTTCGTCCAGTTTCGCTCGTGTTTCTGCGAATTTGGGGTGTGCTTCCATATCTTTCAAAGCTTTGAGGTCCTCGATGATGAACTCGAAGTAGTTCATGATAGTCTTGAGCTTGCGGCTATCTTCTTCGGTCGCCCATTTCTCATTGACGCCATTTGCCAGCCAAGTCATGGCCTTCGCGAGCGTCGCAGCCTTCTCTTCGATATTAGCCGTGGATGACTCCATATTCTCTTGCTCTGATCGATGGTGAGTGGTGAGTGATGGATGAAGGTGTGCGATGTGCGACGATTTTAGTTTGCGATCGGGGATTTTGTACATTGTTTGAAATAGCCTCACGGAAACTCGCGACGCCTTCGGGGGATTTGGCTGATGACGTAATTTCCTTGGAGACAGATGAAACTTGGGCAATGTAGAGCTTCGTGCCAGATGTTCTCACTGGATTTGATAAAGTTCATATATTCTGATATGTTATCCGCTCCAAGTCTCAGCCAGTGGATCATTAGATTCACTTCACCTGTTGAAAAACTTGATGTTCTTCTCATCTTCTACTATGTTCTGTGGCAGAAGATAGCATGAGCTTATATACGGAGTAGATCTCACCGGCATGCACCCCATGGACCTCGGCAAAGTTTATCTCGATCTCTGTCCTTCGGATGCCACTGATCGTGGCCGAACTGAACCTTTCAAACCCGATAAGCATCCAGGTCCTAGTTTTGCATTGTATTTAGCATAGATTGGTATATCTTGCTGTGTAAACTACGCAATAGAACTGAGAATCAAGTGCGAGAGAAGACTATTGCGTTCCTGCCTTTGTAGCATACTCCATAGCCTTCGGGATAACTTACAAAGCAACTAATATGGTAGTTTCTACCTTGTATCTAGGGCAGGCCACGTATTGAACCATCTCTTACAATAGACAGCCATAGATCGGCAAGGTGCTGGCACATGTACAAGAGAAAATGAAAAGAGACAATAACACTATGTCTATAAGTCTAGAAAATTGTCACAGGATGATCAAGGAGGAATATCTATCACAGACCAGGAACAACGAGCTGGATACTCTGGGAGGTTTAAAGGGGCACTAGTAGGATGCTTTCCAGAAGATAGCAAATGTCATGTATGTGTTCTCAACTTAGAACAACTATAGCTCAGAACAATTATCGACTTTGAATTCGACTCCGAGTAACAGTATCGAGGGTATGACACTATACCGAACCTACCGTAAGGGGGTCTAGGATAGAATTTTGCACACTAAGTAAGGATATCAACCGTACATATCAATGACGCGAAGTTAGACAATACATTTACTAATGTTCTTCTAGACTCTGTTGACCTTACCGCGTTTATTATCTAGCAAACGTGTTTCCTAAGTATCAGGCTCTAGTTGCTGTTCGGCATCTTACGGAGATATCATTATAAAACATACAATTATCACATGAACAAAAAATCAGGAGTATGGTAGAAGTGTCTCAATTTAGCTATGTAAACCTTGAGCCTACTTCATGTCGGGGTATGTGGACAACAACAAAGACAGTTGCAAAGTTGGCTGTCCGGTGGCATCTGGAACCGTAGCCACATCCTTCAGGACATGCATTGCTGCTTCAGTCGATACTGCTGTCAAGCCGCAGGCTACATATTGGCCAGGCACTGGTTGCTCCAGCCATAAGTAGATTGCGAAGAAGCCATCGTACTCTGGACGAAAGTAGCTTGTCCAGTCTACTATATCATCATAATTAGTCTCCAGCCACTTCCCGGATGTGCAGTCTAATCCCTTCACATCATCGTCTTCATTTGCCGGCTTTCGGAAGTACACGAGATTGTGGATCCTTGATTTGACCAATTCAATCTCGATTATCAATATGTCGTCTTTTGACAGAGCCTCCTCGTCAGCCTCAGTCAATGGGTCTAGCTCAAGGAGTTGCTCAAGCTCATTGACTCGTTCTTGGATCCTCTTAGCCTCCTCATGGTAGAGTATAATTCGGTCTCCAAAAAAGACCTTCTGGCGTTCAGGGCTGGAGACGACTTTGTATCGCTCCATATGGCTTTCCCAAAGACCCAACGCCAACCAGATTCCACCATTGGTGCAGAATTCCTTCCCTATGCCAATGGAACACTCGAGTTTGAGGCCTCGTTTGGTCACAGGATCGGTCTCTGGAGCCTCGTTCATATATTTGAACTTGTAGTTGTCTCCGCTCACTATAACACTGAGACGGATGAAAACTCGCTTGAGAGCCGAGGGCATATCAGTTTCGATACCACCAAGTAAGAAGAGTGAATGGAAATCATTCTCAATATGCATGAGTTTTCGCATATTGTATCCTCTACCCTTGTTGATCTTCAGTTCCTCACGGCCACTCATTGGTTGATGAATGCAGCCCATGGCAATTAGTCGCCTAAGGTATTCATTGACCATACGCCAGTCGTGAGGTAGCAAGACTGGCATGTCTTGGAGGCATCGCTTCGGGAACGTGGCCACGAGACGGAAAAGAAACGACATGATGTCTCGGTTGAAAGCATTAGGCTTCGGGGTTTCCTTGAAATGCGCTGCCCACTCGGGACAGAGAAGATATGACGGGGCGAGCACTGTTTCATCCCCGATTGAGCCACGAATTGAGCACATCTGCTTTGCTTGTTGCAGCTCGAATTGCGACATGAGGGTCAAGGTACGGACCATGTGACTAGACTCTGGATCGAAGATATGATGGGTTCTTCGGCGTAGGATCAAGCTAGCAGCAAGATTCCTCATGGGAGGTAACAGCGTAATTGCTGGATCGATGCGAAGAAAGACATCTTTCTTTTGCCTATTCATTTCGAAAGCAGACAAAACCACCTTAACGTCCATGTCATCTGTAACCTCGCCAAAGTCCACCTTTCTCGCCTGGGAACGGTTGAATCCACGGACAAAGTCTTTGAAAATGTCTTGCGGCATGAAACACGCAATGCTGATAAAATCGTCAGCTTTTTCGTTGACATACTCAGTGCTCAGCGCTTCGTTGTTCTCCTGCAGTTGGTCGCGCTTATCAGGTTGAAGCTCAAGCACAATCTGGGTGCATTGGTCCAATAACTGACTCTCGTCGAACTCGTCTATGTCATTCTCACAGAACTGTGTGTGCAGCGTTGGATCGATTTGGATCGAGTGAAAAATCGAAGGGCTATGATAATTTTCATAGCCTAGGAACTCGGCTGTAGCTTCCAAGTTATCGCGGTTGAAGAGGGGCCAGGGAGCCGATGAAATGGTGAGAATATTGACTGCTGCGTCGGGTTTTCCCATGGTTTGATCCACCGCCCACTCAAGCCATCTCCCACCGGTGATGATTGTATCAATGGTATGTACACTCGACCCCAATAACATGAGGATGACTAGCTTCGGCGCTGGCTGAGACGCTGCGCTGTTTTCGATCTTCGATTCCGCGTAAGTCGTGATGTAGACTTTGCCGGCGGTCGGCGACTCGGAGAGATGTTTGCTATCTAGATAGCTGCTGAGTATCCCTACTTCCAGGCGAGCTGAGGCCAATACGATCAAAGGGAAATCCGGATTGTCCGTTACCCATTGTCGCAGGTATTCCACCACGAAGAGCGCGCAACCGAATCCGTTGAGGCCTGTTCGTATGTTGACTAACTTCAGGCCTTTGGTCTTAAGCTTGCTTCGCGTAAGCTCAGCCTTGAACTTGGCTTGTCCTTCCTCGGTGTAGAGCCGTCTAATCAAGTTATGGTCGCTTGTCGACGCCATCGTAGCTTTTCTAAAACGTGCGAATGCTTTGTTGCGTAATTTGATCGTGTCGAATGGTGCGCTGTTGAAAGACTGCTTTCCGACAAGAAGGTAGCTGGAATGGTTGAGCCGTTAACCGCGTGGAAAATTGGAAAGGGAGAAACTCTCACATATCACGTGAATATTTGCAAGTCGGGCGCGAGGGCGTCGGAAGTGTTTGGAAAATACTGCCTCGAGGCATCAAGGCGGTGGGTCGGGAGCCTGGAACAGCTGGCTTAATGGCAAGGCAGTGAGTCAAAGCATATCATTTGACGCGGCACTGACAAAAATGACCCCAAACGCCTTGATCCCAAGGCCAACAAATCACTGGGACATAATGTAATGTATCGAGAACGGCAAACTGGATGAATCACATGGCACGAGTTAATCAGTCTTGAAATGATATAGATTAACTCTTACGACACAGTCTCATCATCTACAACATATCGCACATTGAAGCAGAGCAGAAATCAGTTACTTTGTATTATAATCTGATCTATTCATCATCTGGCCACTTCCCATAGCTATGTTGCCAAGGTGCGCCATTCATGCCTCTCATAGCAAGGTGTTCTGCCCCACGCCTTGATATTTCCAAGGTCATGTCCACAGAAAGACCGCTAAAACGGCCAATATCAGAAGCGATTTGCCGGCGTTTTGTCAGTATTGCTTCAGTGGCTGTCCCATGACCGGATCGATCTCTCTTCTTTTTGAGCTCAGCTGCTGTTTCGAAACCCAATAGCATGAAGTCTGCTGATATGCCTCTGTTGGGCTTGCCAGCAGCTGGATGTGAGGGGATAGGCCGTTGTGGCGGTGGTGACAGCGTCGGCGGTGGGAGTGGTGATGATGGTGATGGTGATGGTATTGGAGGGGGGTCATCGATTGGAGGGATTTCCGACATATCGTCCATCTGATCCTCCCTGTTCAAATCATCCACCTCATTGGTTCTAGGTAACCCGATGTCATCTGGTATCTCAGAAACATTGCCAAAGCCTACAAGAGAGTCGCCCTCAGCCATGAAATCTAGGGATTCGGAGACAGGTCGGTGCCGGAGCGCCAGAGGCGACTGATGCGCAGCATCTGGCGTTGGAGCTGGGTTCTGCAGGAGATTGTATTCCCACAAGTCTGCATCGTCAACGTCTGCAACCGACTTGAGCCGGACATCTTCCATTCTTGCCAGCTTTTTTTCTCGAGCCGCTTTTCGTTTTTCAGATAAAACAACCCGTTCTCGATACTTGGGCATGTCATTCTTGTTCGGCAAGTCCTTCGCTGAGCGCGGCCCTTGTATTACTGCGCTGATTACCTCCGTCTTCTGGTAGAACGGGAATTCGTACGCAGAGAGAGAGTCGAGTGCCTCGATCAAGTTGTCTAGGTCTTTCTTCTTCATTTTGTATGGCTCGAAGGGATTGCTCGGTGTTTGCGAACTGATTGGTTCGGAGTCGTGAGCTGTCTTCTTTTCAATAGCTCAAAGTAGATCGTTCCATATTGGGAGCACTCTGCTGGGGTAATGCTGGGCCAGTTGAGTACGAACCTTTGCATGAAGTCTTTCAATGCTCAAGTTGTCTTGATCGTCATGGATGATGGACTGGAAACAGTCGAAGAAGATGTCCAAGGTATGGTTCACCAAGGGCCACTTTCTCCGGTCTCCTGTTCGCACAATAACCGAGTACTGGATTGCCATTGCCAGGAGTGCCTTTTCGCGTTTCCAGATAGGATGAACAAGAAGAGCTTGAAGCGGCCGGTTAAATGTGGACGGCCAGTTTCGCATGAGCCCTCCGCGGCTGACGGAGATATCGTACTCTAGGTGATGCGCAGGAGAGATGATGTCGCTTGGCAAGCACTTCATGAACCGTGCACAAGTTCTCCAGAGAGCCTGCAAAGATGCATTGGGCGTCTGGGTTGTCTTTCTCTCTGGATCGGCTTGCCAGTCATCCAGCAGCTTGGCCTCGTCCTCCTCGGTCCAAATGTGATCGTATCGAGGGTCGGATGGAAGAAGGCTCTTAAACTCCTCCTTTTTCAGCCGCGGGTAGCTATCGGGGAGCTTCTTTCGACAGATCTCTGCATCCTCCCTCAGCCTTTTGTCGGCCTTGGCCAGGGATTTCGATAGCTCGTTCGGCGCGCCGTCGCGATCTGAATCAGACGCCATCTTTTCCTGTTGCCGAGAAGTTAGCTGTCGTCTGGACAACCAATCGTCTCTGATGACTTACTCCTGTAGAAATTTCAGGTTGTGGAGAAGATTTCAATATCCAAGTGTGACGCGTGAACTTGAAAGAAAGGAGGGCGACAAGTCCACAACACGTGACACGTGAGAGCTTCTGCAGCTCCTCGCCCCCTTTCGTGCTTTGTTTCGAAGCAGACGGCCTACCAAAGACACACAAGGAACCACCTTTGTCCTGCTAACTTTTGACACCACACGCTCACCTTCACCCACTTTACGGATCTGACAGAATAGCGATCATGTCACAAAAGGAGCAGGGCCAGGATGCCCTTGAGGACATGCGAGGATTGACGCTCAACGAGGTGAACCGCGCCATGATTCTTCAGCGTCACTGGCCAGTTAGTTGGTTGGACAGCACACCTGGTATATCAGGGTTACACTGCTTTACCGTGGTACTTCGACATATCTTTAGTCACCTTGACAAGACTATGCTCGATGAGTTGAAGTCTTCCGAACAGATGAACCCCTTATTCGGCTTTGTCTGGATGCTGTTCTCTGTTCGCGACACATCCAGCAAGTTTCAACAGGCCGCAAAGTCAAGCGAGGTGCTCAAGTCACTTCAAGAACGAGTGGCTTGCGACCGTCTCAACTTTCATCGGCTTGCTGAAAGCAATCTCCTGATGGAAAGCATCTGGAAACTGGGCGTCTTCCATCTATTCCGACCAGCCCTGTACAAATACAGCGACGAGTCTGAATGGAAGTTGATGCCTGATACAGACGAAGACGCTGGGCGAAGAAGTTTGGTCGAATGGAAGCTTGATGAGACACAAAGCGTCAGCGAGGCAATCAACAGCAGATTCGGCATCTTCGAGAACGACGAGGGTGCCGAGATCTTGTACGAGAGCCGGTGCCCAGTCGTTATTCGCGTTCTTTTTACTCCGGCGGCGACTCAGTCCGATATGACAATCCAGGACATTCGAGTGGCACATGTCAGACACGTTCACAGAGCTCAAAAGCCAGATCGAGATTTGCGACCCATGATGGGGTTGCAATACAAGCCATACTCTTCGCAACAGAAGTACCAGCTTATTGCCGTCGTTAGACTACAAGGAAACAAGGTCGAAAAAGACCTTGTTCGTCTCTACAGTATGGACGGCGTTTCAATCCAACCATTCGGACCCCCCAGGGAATATGTGTCCTCTGGATGGAAAGTCGAGGACCAAGATCATCAACTCATGTTGTACTATGTACGTGGTGATGCACCAATCGCTGACGTAGAGTACCCGGAGATGAACCAGCCCCAGAAAGACAGCAGCCAAATAGCTGCGGTCTACGCTGGCATCATGGCAGACAGCAAGACATTTTTCCCAGATCATGGCCCAAGTGGAAAGGATCCATCGAGCAAACACCTGCTAAGTGGACAACTCCCTGCGCAGCCTGGCGATCCCAAGCGCCAAAAGCTCGATAAGCCAAGCACGAGTTCTAAAGCCCCAAAAACGCAGCAGTCTCAACAGACTCTGCCACAAGCCAGAAAATCTCTGGCCAAGCGGAGAGTCGTTCCGAATTTCAGCAGAGGCCGTCCCAGTGGCGGGTCAACCCATGATTCAACTGCGGCAAGCCCGGGTGCTCTACTCTCCATGTTGATCAGTCAGTCGCCATTCGGCTTACCGGAAAGTGAGACGAGTCAAGACCAGTCCTCACAGCAGCGTCAGTCAGGGAACAACAGACCTGATGATAGGCGTCGTGAGGACGAAGACGAGATGATTCGTTCCTGTATACGCCACCATCTGGGCCCACAGGTCGTGGAACTTATCATCACTCTTCCAGGACATATAGCGGCCGCGGGGACGACAGAGGCCGTGGGGGGCGCAATAACAATCAACGAGGGAGTTTCAATGGCAAAGAGTCTTGACGAGGGTTGACCTTTCTATCCCCTCTCAAACTAGGTAGCTAGTGAAGTTGAGTGCTTCCAGAATTGATTGTCGCAAGCCCAATTGTAAATGTCTTACTAGTGATTCGTGTTTTTTGAAAGTTGCGTGACTGTCCTAATTCTCCTTCGAATCCTTTGTTGTACCTTCCATCAACCCATCCATCTAGCTAGCTGGGGCGTTCGCTGGTTTGTGAGGTCGGGGTGAGCGGTTTGCTGGATTGCAAGAAGGAAAGTGTTCGGTGCGCATGTCGTTTGGTGCTCATCCACGGGGCTAAAGTAATTGTATAACCCTACAAAGAGGCTTCATCGTGAGCATGGGCGCGCAAGGTGTGTTGCTAGTTGATGCGCCGGCAGTCTGATTGCACAGATCAGTTGACAGGGACGACCAGCCTTGCAAAGGCGGCGTCCTGGGTGGATCGCTCGGACCAATGGTATGCGGCAAGCGATGTAACGCTGATGTTGTGCAACGTCTGGGAAGATGTAAGGCTCGGCGACTTGGCGACGGTGGCGACGGTCTGCCCACTCGCTGTTATACCCAGTACGATGCTTTAGGTGCGATTTCCATGGTAAAATCAACAAGTGTCTTGGTGCGATTTCTATGATATACCTACAAAGCCCATTTAGAAGGGAATTCTATTATATACCTTTGAAGCCTATTTGGGTGAGATTTCTATGATATACCCACAAAGCATATCTAGGCACAAAGTCTATGATATACTCATAATACCTATATTAATGCGATTTCTATGATACAGTCACATTGAAGGTTATACCTACAACGAGGGTCTAGGTACGAATTTCATGATATACCCACAAAGCCTATTTAGGTGAGAATTCTATAATATACCTATAACGCTTATATTAGCATGATTTCTATAGTATAAGTATCTAAGTACGAAATCTATAATATACCCACAAGACATCTTTAGGTGCGATTTCTATAATATACTCACAAAGCCCATTTGGGTGAGAATTCTATGATATACCCACAATGATCATATTGGTGCGATTTCTATGGTACAGTCCCATTAAAGGTTATACCCACAACAAGTGTCTAGGTGCGAATTCTATGACACACCCACAAAGCCCATTTGGGTGAGAATTCTATGATATACCCACAACAATCATATTGGTACGATTTCTATGGTACAGTCGTATTGAAGGTTATACCCACAACAAGTGTCTAGGTGCGAATTCTATGATATACCTACAAGATATCTTTAGGTGCGATTTCTATGATATACCTGCAAGGCACATTTGGGTGAGAATCCTATGATATACCCACAACGCTTATTTGGGCTCAAATTTAATGACATACCTAAATCTTGTGCTTGTACCCACAAAGCCCGTTTAGGTGCAATTTCCACCGCGCCCTACTACCTTAGGTTTCAAGTGACCTTGAACGCAACCACGAGATGTAACGGACACCTCCAGTCGCGCCGCTGAGCCGACGCCCACGTTCCTCTGAACGCACTTCTTTGTCGCAAGTTCTACCCTCGAGCGACAGCATGCCAGCACCCAGGCCTTCGCCGCATGGACCCTCTCCCTCCTCGTCCGAGCCCGACAACAAGGACTGTTCTCTCCGACTTCGAGCCTCTCTGGAGAGCGCCAACCGACTGTCGCAATGTATTTTTTTGCATTCTACAGCGCTTTGGCCTTTCATATGATGACTACCATCGTTTCGATCGATTCGTACGACGGATGCGGCATGCGCGACGTTTTTTACCCACAGCACGACCGATTTTCTTAGCCATGAGTTGCCTGCCACCAAGCCTCTCCACGATCGAAGCCTCAAGAAGGAACAATCTCCGTCTCTGCGATAAGTCTCCTCAACGAACCCTCCTACGATCGCTTCATTTAATATCGACATACGCTCGTTGTGCCATAAAGCATCCGCTTCATCGTAGGTTCAATCTTCTTGGTGCTATTCGATGATTGGCGGCTTTCGCTCCAGGTCAATACAGACGAAAACGTCTTCTTCTCGCACAATGAGTTCTAATGGCGCCACTAGACTTGAGAAGTCAAGACTATCTCCTTGGTAAGCGCCCTGTATCTTCAAGCGCCTCATATCGTTACATCTGCTTCTTCCCGGCAGGAAATATCGACAGCATTGGCGATGCCAAAGCCAAGACTCGAAGAGTCATTTCCGGTCTCCTCTCCGTCGCTCTTCTCGAAACTAGCGACCAGATCATTACATTTATCTGGCGAGCCGTCCTCGAGACTCACTATTACACATTCAAGCTTCAAGAAGCTGGAAGAAAATGTCGGAGACTCTACTGGAAAGGATTGGCGTACATTGTGTTTTTCTCTAAAGGTTCCGCTTCTCATGAGCTGTCTTCAACGGCGATTCTCCATGTCAGGAGTGCAAGATGCCATTAGATAGGAGGTAGAAAGACCGCGGACTTTCTCATGCTTTTGGGGTGCTGCAGAGCCAAGGCGTTGTCGGACATTGGGAATTCTGTTCTACATTATGTTTAAGGTTTTGATAGTGAACAATCACATAGTGAACGTACAATTGAGCATTGCATCAATGTTTCTTTTACTTCGTAGCGTCTCTATTTCGCACTAAAAGGAACTTGCCTACCACGCAACTCAATTCACCTAGTCAGCCACACATATAACCCCCATTCAGGAAGACTTATGCTTTTTAATGCAATATCTGTCATCCAGCTGTCATCCAGTAGAAACGATTGCGTTCAAACTTCTCATGACTCCTAACCCTTGTATTGTATGTTGCGATTCATATCTCTTAGTTCCGCAACCCATTAATGAAGCACAGGTCCGTCGCATCAATACTAATTTCCCATCACTCACTGATGCAACTATGGTCATTGAGCTGAGGTAGAACTTCAGTTGTCAATCGCCGTACTTACCGTTAAATGGGCCATACACGGCCCCTTCCTGTCACAAGTAGGTGATTCCTCATTACCTGATGCACAGACATGATGTATAGAGCTATTAATGTTTTCATCAGCCGGGAAAACACTTCATAGCAGTGGACTTTTTGTTTTTAAACGTGTGACACCCTGCAGTGTGGTTCAAGGGGAACAGATTGATCAATCTTTTAATTAGACCAACTACGCAATTATGCGCCATTTTCAATGTTAAGTCACTAAAGATAGGGCCCATTGAAAACATGATGGTGGAAGCCAAAGTAACGTGGAGGACTTTCCTACTGCTTCATGTCTTGTGGTGACAAGCGTTGGCGGATGTCTCACATCCCCAATAACACACTGACTACAAGGGCTGGCACGTTGGAGCATCGAGATCAATTACCTTATAGCACATTTATTCATGGGTCTAATCACTATAGAATTGCAAAGTGGTGAAGAGTAATGATTATATTGTCATAACTATCCAAGAAAATGCCCCTCGAAGAGTCTTTCAGGTCTAGTGACGTATTCACGAGGCAGCAGAAATGTCTACCAACCAAAGGAAGTTTTGTTTGTCTAAGACGGGAAGCGTAATGGGTTCTTCCCAATTAGTGGCTTTAATGAGAATTGTGTTTGTCGACTGGAGCACGATACGAGTCCTGTCAACTGCACGCAGTGTGTGCTCCTCTAGGTTCAGCACAATCACTGCAGTCCAGCTGGTGTGTGTAAACATGCCAATGTGTGGAGCAGGAAGCGACATCCATGGATGTGTTTAAATGTCTCATCTACCCCGTGTCTCATGGCGTTGACCAAGCCGTGAAAGTGAACAGAAGCAAGGTACTTTTCAAGCTTCTGCTTGGCCGCAAACCATCCATGGTTGGAGTGTTGCCAGCGTTCTTCAACAATTGACATTATTTGCCAGATCGAGAGTGCCACAAGGGGCTGTGCTGCGCTTGTTTCGTGAAGATGATCTGCAAATTGAAGCATCATATTGTCAAACACATCAAGAGATAATTCCGGACAAGTGTCCCTACGGTGAAGCGCTTTTGTCACCTGAGCTACAGTTACTAGAAAGGAGGGTGACAAGGTTGCATCAACTGTGATGGCACCAAATAAGTCAACAATGTTTGCCTCGAGACTTTGCTCAGTTGTAAGAATTGCATCACTCTCATCCTTCCACCAAGAGTTCAAGATGACCCATGGTGTTGATGAAGTGTCAACATTACTAGGCGACGCCGGTATTTGGCGCAATAGCATCTCAACGAGCCCTTGGAAACTTTCCGGGCTGGCGGGTGACCTACATCTAAGAGCAAGAGCATGAGTCAGTATTTTGATGGCTGTTCTTCGTAACTCTTCTGCCTCTGACAGAGCTTTCTGACTGTCCTGCAGTAAATTTCTCTCGTAACCCAATGTTCGGTTCAGAGCATCTGCACTTCTACTCGACTCTGCCAACTCCTGCTTCTTTTCTTTTAGCTCCCGTTCTAGAGCATTTACATCCTCTACCTTTCTTGACAAAGCTCGTGTCGTTACATCATGGCGCCTGAGTTCAACCTCGAGCGCCTGCGTTTTTGCATTAAGATTGCTATTGACAGAGTCGATTGTCTGCTGCAGCGACTGACAAGACCCCTCAAGTTTAGTGACATGAGACTCGACTGTTTTCTTCTCGTCCTGCAGCTTGCTCAAGTTCGTCTGAAGACTATGATTCTTGGCCGACACAACGGCCATGCGAGAATCATAGTCTTGAAGCCTATCCTTGGCCTGGGTGAGCTCCTGTTGAAGACGTTGTACATCAATAGATGCTTTGCTTGCTTCAGCTTGTCGCTGATTGCTTGCCTCCAAAGCCTCCATCCATGATTTCTGGAAGTCATCACGCTCAGCTTTTCTCTGGTCCGAGATCTGCTTGGTGGCACCCAACTCGATCTTTTTGCGCTCTAGCTCAAACCTAAGTTGAGACACCTCATGCGTTGGAGCGGCAAGTCTGTTCTCGGCGTCTAGAAGTTTTTGCCGAGTCTCTTCAAGCTCTTGAGCCAAGACACCATTCTCTATACTCCTTAATCGTTCGCTAGCAGTAAGATGGGCGATGGCCTTTTCCATTTGCTCATTCGTTCTCTTGAGCATTCCGTTGCTGTCAGCGCCAGAGTCTCGAGCAATCGTCAGCTCTTCAACCTTGTCTCTCAGCCCTTGAAGCTGATTGTGCATTGTGTTGAATGCTGTTACATCCATCATATCCGTAGATTGCTCAGTAAGTCTCGCCAGAGCAGCCTGAAGCTTTTCTTCCAGTCTCTCCTTTGAGCGATTGGCAGCTACAAGCTTTTGTGCGTAACAGTCTCGGTCATACTCAATGTCATGAACATCTGATTGAAGGTGCCGAACAGATTCTTGAGCTTCCCTCAGACCTCTTCTACTGTCATCCAACTTCTTGCGCATATGCTCGATGGTTGTGGTGAGTTGTCCAACCTCTTCTTCAAGGCCCAGGGCCTTGTTTCTTTCGAGTCTCGCTTGTAGATCCTGAATTCTATTTGTGTCCTTCAGATTCTTGATCTCGTTTTCAAGCCGACTTTCTTCCGAGAGAAGACCCAAATTTTCATCTGTAAGTTGATTCCGCATGTCCCAGTAGTTCTTATTGCTTTCCGCAGCTAAGACGTCTAGCCTTCCGTGAAGCTTTTGGATGATCTCGTTGGATGTTTTCTCGTCCTTTTCTCCAGTCATCTCCAAAGACGCAATGGAAGCCTCGAGCTCGGTGATCATTGCTGTCTTGTTCACAATGGTAACGTTGGCAGCATCAAGCGAGTCTTTCATTGACTGCCGTTCCTGAACACAAGATTCCGACAATGCGTTGGCGACTTTTAGATCTTCTTTCATCTCAAGGACTTCAGCGTCTGCTTTTGCCAAGCGTTGATGGAGCTTGGAACGATCATCTTTGATTGCTTGGAAAGTCTTGACTTGCTTTCGAAGCGCTGCTGATTCTGACTGTGCGGTGTTGTATTTGGTGCGGAGATCTCTTGTGACGTTGTCCATCTCTTTCTCCATATCATGCAGCTGCTCCTTCAACTCCTCCGTCTCGATGGATGAGAGTTCAAGAGCTGCCTTGAGCCTCTGGACATTGTTAGTGTCTGCGAGTTGTGACTCTGCGCCTGGATCAACGTTTCTTTGACTCTCGATATGCTGATCGTCCGCGCTGAGAAGGTGCCTGTAGTCCTCGTGAAGCTCCAAGATGTTGTCCATATTGGAGAAAACAGCCTGGTTCACTCGCAGAAGCATTGCAGTGACTTTGTCAGGGAGCTTGATGGCTCGTTTCACCAGCTCATCCGAGTTGAGATCCGCCACTTCGCCGTACGCTTCGATGCTCTGGTCGAGTCGATCTCGCAGGTTGTCTCGCTCATTTAAGAGGTCTTCCATGTCCCGTCTTAGCTTTTTGAACTGCTTAGTGTCTTCTTCGATGTCCTCCGGATACCCGATTTTCGATGCGATGTCATCGAAACCGCTTGACGTGTTTTGAGCGGCATCTCGGGCCTCTTTCAATTCCTTTTTCACTGTTAGTACATTACCGACTATTTGCTTGGCCGGCGCAAGACCCGTCACAGGGAGAAAGATGGGTGGCGCCATGGCGATGATGGGTGAGAAAATTATGTTTTTTGGAGGGGTAGGTCTTGTGGTGTTTTGTGAAAAGGACCTCCGCCCACACCATTTTGGATGACTAACCAAAAAATCCCACACGCACTTCCTCGATCACCTCGAAACTTACCATCTATCTCTTGGCTACATCGTCGATGAAACACCTTCTCGTCGATCTCACAGGTTCAAGAAGACGACAACCGTCACAAACTCTATAGAATAGTATCGTCGAGAATGTTCTTCATACAGGCTAACTCTTGCTATCTTGTCACATAGTGTCATTTGAACTTGTCGTCGTTTTGCTACAGAGCGAATAAAGCACAAGAATCACGGGCACTTAATGCATCACAGGGACTTGAACCTGGCTGCAGGGATAATGAGCTGAATTAAATATCTCCCTGCAAGTATGATAGGATCTCTTCGACATCTTTATATACCTGAACCTCCGCGCTGAGTTGCTCGGCGTCTTCTCTCATTCTTTGCATCTGACGGATGTACTCATCTCTCTGATGGAGAAGATCGTCAGTATCACGACGCATCTCATCTAACCACTCATCCAGACCTGTCATGTCATTGTGGACTTCGCCATCTAACAAGGGTTCAAAATTGGTGAACTCTTGGATGAAAGCATTCCTGGCATTCAAGTCTGCGCAAGTTTGCACCAAGTTGTCATGAAGAAAGGTTTCCCTAGCCATAACATAGTCCTCTGACTCTCTTAGATCGGCAGCTGTCGCTCGTCCAAACTGCCCGCCAGCTTCAGTTCGGTTGAATCCATCTTGGGTGATGTAGCAATTGGTCATAGCTGCTAATAAGACTTCTGCAGCTGGAAGATGGCTATTATCGTAAAGCCGAACAGCTGGCTGTGTTACGGCTACGGGCTCTAGAACTTGTTCGGACATCAAGCATACAATCAGTCCGTAAGCCTTGTTTGCCTTTTTGAGCGAGCTCTTGTTTGTATTCACGTTATACGCTTGTGTGCGTGTAGACATTGACGTGGAACAACCGACATACTGGGGACCTTGAACAAGCGGCGTCTGCCCAGATGGGTCATGACGCAGACTCTCAACTCTTCGAAGTTCAAGACTTTTCACCAAGGCGGCCATACTGGGCAAAACACTATCTTTGTCAATGAAGCGCGGACCACTGTTCGAGTCGTGGCTTCCAATGGCATTATCAACCCTACTCACAAAGTCTCTTAATTGGCAAGCAGCTACATTAGGTGGATTGTTCCCATGATGGCAGTAAGCATGGTACCCCTGGATGTATCTCCTCAAATTGTCAATCAGTACTTGAAGCTCGCTCGCTGTCAGCCACGCGCCAGCTCTGCCAGCCACGCAAATTCCTAGAATGTACACCCCAAGGCCTCCAGTATCACCATATGTCTTTGGCCTATCGCGAATCTTGTGGAAATCGAAAGCGATGGTTCCAAGGCAAGCCGAGACAAGGAGCTCCCTAGGGATACAGTGTAGTATCAACCATGTTCTAGAGCCCTTGTCCCTCACATCACGAAGACACTTGAATGTAAGGTCTTTGCCCCCCCTTAGCCACTGGGGTAAACCAGCAGTCTGTTTGATCATGTCCGGAAACAGTAGGGACAGTCCGTAATAAGAGTCATCTCGGGTAAGTGAGGTTATGATTTTCAACCTCAGCCCATCAAGCAGCGGTATCTCAGCCGTTGGCACAGGCGGCCAAGACAACTTGTCCATTTTCACGGTTATGTGAGAGGATTCGAAATACTCGCACTGTTTAATCACTATCTTGACACGCAGAGGGAAGCTGTCGCACAGGTGATGAAGATGCGATATGATTTTTAGTGAGGTAGACTGTTGTGGAGATTGTGGGGAGGAGAGGCTTTCGGCGCTAACTCGCCAAGGTAATCAATCAGGTGAGATATGTCTTGACGCTTGGGCCGCACTCAGTTACATCATCAACTCTGTACGCGTCCTTGCAGGTGTTTGTGCGAGGTAACTTTGATATCGAACACCCCCATGTCTCATCAGTTTCTCACGACATATGTCAACTACGATGCTTAATTTGATGACTATTCTATCTACCATTCATTGCATGCGCGGATTATAAGTGTGCATTCTATTGCACACTCACCAGGGCTGTGTATCTCTGTTGACCGTAGAGCCGCACGATGGTACAGTGCAGATTTTCTTACAAGGTGTGGTGTTGCACAAGCGCCCACACTAGGGACGGGACGATTGCGCTTAAGTTGCCTGGAAGAGCCAATGGGCAACATCCACTTGAGCAAATGCGGCATCCCCACTTTAACCAATAACTTTACCTCAGCCTCATATATCAATAAGTAATTTAGTAACAAGCAGACGAGTAACGTCATGACATGCGAAAATGCCCAACTTCGACGTAAGAAAGTATTGTAATCTCAAGAACAATTGTTTGAATTCGGTATAATATGGGCCCAAAACTTGCATCAATGGTCAAGGGCTTCATGCTTCAGATCGCGACTCGGTCACATGTGTAGAAGTAGAACTGTAATACCAAAAGATATACGCCTGTGGTCAACTGTGCATGCATGATTCCATGACTTGGCTGATATATGGAACGTTTATTTGGGTTTATATTGGACAGCCTTCATACCTGTGGGACATTGACGAGTGATAATATGAGTTAGTTAAAGGGCTAAGGAATAGCTGGATACAAGTAGATTGAGGCTGAAATTACAGCTGCACGTTGATTGTCTGGTCATATTGGCTTTACAACTACCAAATATCTTATTGACGAATTTAGGCGTGCAAGGTTCAACGAGATACTCGATTAGCTGATACATATTGAACCCTTGCACACATGCCACCAAAGTAGCTGACCGCCCTGGGAGACTCTTTCAGGTCACTGTTGAAGGGAATGTGTGACACTGGCACTTATTGTTGCGATAAGATAAGGCAGCCCAACTTTGTTGATACCTTTGCCAATTTGAACCCCTCCGACCCCTCCATTTCCCAAAGAACAACCACTTTCTGAATATTGACAAAATCAAGCTCAGAAACGGAAATCATCATGCCGCATATGCGCTCATCTTTGGGACTTGCGGGCACAGATGCCCTGCGTCGTCGAGAGGCGTTGCTCGTCATCGCGACAGGAGAAAAGGGCATGACGCCCGAGGAATGGGAGAAATTGGTGAGGCGATCCGCCAAGGCCGTCGCAAAAGACATGGCCAAAGATAGCGACGACGATCGCTTCGAGCGAGTTTCAGCAGCATACTTCCACTTCCAAGTGGACATGATGCTGTGGATGCGCCGTAAGTACTACATTTCCCGATCTAGGTGTTTCAGCGGTTGCTAATCAAACCTACCGCTCGCAGTTCGGATGCCAACGGAGTTTCCGTGGGCTGACTCGCTCGAAGTTCTGCACTCGTGTGTCAACGAACCGCCGTATTCGACAGAGTACAAGCAGGCGTTGCTATGGCGCGAAGAGGAGGCAATCGATAAAGAGGCTCCTTACGCCCAAAGGGAAGTCGACGAGCTCCTCCAACAACAGGAGGAACAAGTCAAAAAATACAAGGCTTTCATGGCTTCAAAGTCTCCGAGCGGGCCAGGGAGCCATGAGAAGACACTTGAAGAAATAGACTCTTCGAAAGCCTCGAAAAAGAGTATCGAAGAAATCTACAACGAAGCTTTCCCCCCACCCTCATCAGGGAGGTGGGCCGATGAGTTGGAGGACTTGGACGAGGCCCCGGACCCTCTGGCTTACTCTAGAGTACCTGCTGCCAATAATGTCAAGTCTCCAACTGTGTGCGATACAAGTAAAGGTAAAGGCAAGTGCAAGTCAGTAGCAGACCTCTCACTAGCCATGGCAGATCCGCCATCGAAGTCAGAATTTCCAACAGAGGAGTTCTCGTTTCTCAGGCTGTTGGATGAGTCCAGGCAATACCAGAGACTATTAACAGCCTCTACAGCTAACCCGGGTGCAGGAAGCTCGTCTCAATCGAATCGACCGGCCACAGTACAACAGCCGGTATCGCGATCGGGTCCTCCCCAGAGGCGTGACCCGCCTGCTCCAAAGCCAGCAGTTCAACGGCCACAAGGGATTCAACCCCCACCTCAGCCACGAGGATTGCAGAATGACCCTCGAGCACCCATCAGACGTCCGCAACAGCCATCGTTGCAGCCCCCCGTTGTGCCAGCTACGCGACCGCCCCCGGTGTCAGCTGTGCCAGCCACGAGTCCTCCTGTCGCAACAGGACATACCAAACCCGCCGGTTCTAATCAAGATCCGAAAACCAAAACTTACGGCCATTATGTGCCACCCGTGGAACAGCGCCGTGACATTTGGATAAAGCTCTTCGACAAGGAGCGTCCTACTGAACCAGGCTGTGACGCCTTCGAAGTTGGTATCCCCAGGTCTTGGTGGGGTATGGTCATGGGAACCCACGGCACTGTCATTTCACAAGCCCATAAACTCGTGGGATGCGTGCGCCTTGCCGTAATTCCGCTTCAAGAAAACAAGCCTGAAGGTGATCTCAAATTGATTGCTGGATTACAGGGGTGGGTCAATGACAAGTCGCCAAACTATTGGAAGGCATTGGGCGACGTCTGGGCAGGTATCAATAAGTGGGTGCTGACCCGCCGGCTTGGTACTGAGAAGCGTGATCTGGCAGCCTTCCTCGAGTCTTGGTTGAAGGACGGCCAAAGCGGTATCAGTCACCAAATATCTGACACCCGGAAAGACTTCCAGGAGGAAGTCAAGAAGAAGGAGAGGCTTCGCCTGGAACTTACTGCACAAAAGGCAGCCGCTGTTGCCCAAGTTGAGTCCGATGTTGCTCAATTCATCGTGAACAAAACAGACGATGAGTGCGAACAGATCGTTGATGCTTACTTCTGGAACCTAGATGAGCCCCCAGACTTGTGCAATTACCATGAGGTCATCTGGGAGATTTCGGCGGCCTGGAAGAAGAGAGTTGCTGCCGCCGGACAAAAGAGAGCTGAGTCATGGGCTTGGAAAACTCATCGAGCCCTGAAAGATGGGTAGAGCAAGACATGAATGGTCTTGATCGTGGGGTGGGAGATGCCAAATTCCTCTCCCGCTAGCGGTTTTTTTGATAGAATACGGTGGTGATCCCTTGGACCAGTCCTCCAATAATGCAACGTTTTCTATTACATTGCAGTGTTCAATCCAGTGATAATGATTATGATTTGCGTGAATAGAATACCGTTCGATGTGCTATGTTGATTGCCATGTGAATTATCTGTCCCACTTAACATGAGATACATGTTGACATAGGAACTCGTAAAGGTACAGGTAGACTTTGCATGTTTGATGTGGCAGCACAATCTACCGGATCATCTTCGTTCCGGGTTGCAGCTGCCGGCTGTTGAGATATGACTCCAACACTCGATTCTCGCGGACTCTTGTTCACTTTTCCCCAAACGCCCACACTCAGGTAAGCCGCCACCAGCGTCCATCGGCGTTGATTTCCATCTCCAGCCCATCTCTTTCATCGTATTTTCAGTGCACTAACGTTTGAGAGGTTATTTCGAAGCGGAAAAAGCAATAAAAATGACTGATCAACAGCACGGCATCGACGAGTCGAGACACGCGGGCTCCTCGCCCACCGGTGAAAGAACCGGTCAGAAGCGAGGGCGAGATAACGAGCCTTCTTCTGAAACATCGAGGAAGCGTTCGAGGGTCGAGGATGACCGGCTGATGACGCGGTTCGCCGACAAGGTGCTGCAGACGCCCAAACAAGTCTCCATGACCAACATGAGGGAGGTGAGAAAGGTGAGAGGCACCATGACGCATCTCTCAAAGGATCAGCTGGACGTGCAGTTCCACCAGACGCCTTCAGGTGTGAACACGTGGACTGCCAGGCCAAAGGATATGCCGACAGGCACAAACTTCGTGGTGCGGGGTCCTGATGGGCTAGGTAGTGTCATGAAAATAGGCACAACCAAGACGGAGGTCGACAACGCAGCAAAGTTTTTGTCCTCTGAGATCTTGGACAGGGATGCAGCAGTGTACATCACCTGGAGAGAAGAGGATCCTCTCATGACGGCTAAAGACATGTTCAACTACAACAAGAACAAGTTGTTGCTTCCAAGGGCGAGGTCCGAGTTTTCTAGACCTAGAGGCAGATCAACCCGGCCGTCATCATACAGCCGGGCTCCCACTAGCGGATGCGCAAATTGCGGTCGGCCAGGTCACGAGCTAAGAGACTGTTGGGTCCCTTCTTCAATTGCGAAGGGAGACATATACGGCTGTCCCTTGTGCAATGAGCAACACCAGTTCGACACCTGCGACAAGAGCAGTTCGCTTTCCGCCGAGCAACTCTTCAAGGTGCTCATTTTGGACCGAGCGGGCAAATGCCGGATTCGAACGATCATTCCGTGGATCCGCGTTCTTGAAGAACAAGAAAAGCTCTGGTCGCAGGTCACAATGCTTCCCCTCTCCGCGGAGTTTGTGCGGCGCATGTTCACTTCGTCGAACTTCGACAAGAACAATGCGACTGAGTCCTGGGATAGGTTCAAGAACGGTGTCCAGGATCCTGCAACCAAGGATCCCGCGACCACCCTTGAGAACTTCAAGAATGGGATTTTGGCCCACGAGATGTTCATCCCATCTTCGGTCATGAAAGCCAATGGCAAGGATACCGGCGATGTATTAGACATAGCTGACATTGAGGATGAGATTGTGGACAGCCTAATGGCGGGTGATACTTCTAACACTGTCTACCTGTCCGCGAACCTCGGCGCCCACCAGCGAGTCTCCGAGGTACAGAATGAGAACTTGGTGTCTGAATCTGAAAACACGGGTCAGAATACCGGAACAGATGCAGCTACAAATGCTGCGCAGGTATTTACACAAAACGTGGATCCTACATCTGTTCCGCTTCCTGCGAGTTCCTTTGCCGAAGACATGGATTTGGAGAAGAATGAAGAGATTCAATCCCCCAGGTCAGTCAAGGGCCAAGGCGGTAGGCGCAAGTCCAGAAGAAATCCCAAGCCTGTCAGCATCGAAAACGATGACGCTGACGAAAAAAGCTCTGGGTCTGAGTTGTCAAGCAGCGACGACGATGTAGAAAATGAGAAATATCTTAAACAGATAAGAAGGATCAGGATAGAAGGACCGACGGGCACAATTTCCCGCGTCGCATCGCCTGATCCAGCTCAGGGTCTATGAAAGGTGCCGGGAAAATTATCCGGTGCCATGCTGAGGGAGGAGAATTTGAAAGATAATCAATAGAATTGTCATTTTCTTTTCTCCATGACTTTACTCTTGTGCCTTTTGTCATGCGATTTATGATTTATATGACCACGCTTCCGGTGAATCCTGTTAGACAGCCTTGCGTTGACCACCCTGTGTGGACAGCGTTGTGTGTGGAATTGTCTTATGTATCTGGCCCTATTCTCTGCGCCACTTTTCTTTGAAAGTGACGCATGAACATATATGTGCTCTCAACGCCTGAGCCACCTGATATGCAGATCGAGCAGGCAAGTTCAACAAATTCAATTAGGTACTGTTATTCTTGGCTCTCTAGGCTGCAGCTGTATCGCATGATTGATCCCTATAGTAACATGTAAGCTGTGTGCCTGGGTGCTTAATATGAAGGGAATCTTTATACCCACAACAGCGTTTTGGGTGGGGTTTGGGTGATATACCTACAATGGGGGTTTTGGCGAGATTTGGATGATATACTTACAACAGTAGTTGGTGGGATTTGTATGATATACCCACAACAGTAGTTTAGGTAGGATTTGTATGATATATCCATAACGGCAATTTGAGTGGCTTAAGTGTACCAAGTGGGCTCAGGGAGCTCCCCAAGAAGCTGGTACCGCCCAAGCTCCCTATTCTTATATGACACCGGGTCGTGGAGCGTGTGAGTTCTGATATCTCTCCAGAAACGATCTAATCCAACCTTAGTCGCTGTAGACTTAGCTCCTGTCAACTCAAACACTCCCGAAGTAACCCGTAATCCAGTGTCCGTCTCGACGACCTTGACACTTGCCACCCATTCTGCTGCTTCGCCTCTAGCCTGCGCCGTCACCTTCGCTCTTCCTTCTAAAGTTCCTGAGCTCACGTACAAAGAGCTGATTTCTTCACCAGCCTTGTCGACTAAAGATATGGCAGCTCGTAAGTAAGTGAGGAAGTTACCGTATGTTGACAGAATATAGAACTTATCCTGCAGGTTCTCTTTATTCTATAACTCTTGTGAGATTGTGCAACATCATATACAAAAAATCAACTTACATCTCCTCCAAATGGCTAAGCTCTGGTAGACTTGTTCGTGTATGAAGATGCTTCGTTTAGGGCTCCCCAGGCGATCCCTATGTAGAAGTCGCTCAATACGAGCTGAATGCTACAAAGCTGAGTTAACATTGGGCATCTGCCCATGGCGCCTTGACATTATCGATTTTGACACTCTCCGACTCCGTTAGACGCAGTCCGACGTTATTCCAATCATGAGGAAACTGGATGCCTGACTGCTCAGTTTTGACAATGGCGAAAATATGATCACTTGTGTCGTCATATGCTCCTTCAAGAACAGTCAAATCAGACACGACACCTCCTGTGTTGAAGAATTTGAACCCGTTAAAGACAATATCATCGCCATCTGATGTAATACGCAGAGCATTGTCTCGAAGACTCACTGCACCGCCAACAAAAGAGTTGTTGGATATGATGAGCTTCTGGAAGCGATCCACCACGGTCCTGACGACATTCGCGGTCGTCGACCACGAATGATATCCAAGAAGCACACCCAACGAGCTGTGACGAATGTCAGTCATAATGTCGCTAGGACATTGAAAACGTGCATTCTACCCGTCGTTTAGTTAGTAACCGATTTATATCTTCTAATAATATGGTTGTCATTCTGTTATTATCGTTGTTATATTCTCTATGACTTATCGTCAGTTCGGCTATATATTATGATTGTATCGTAACAAGCTACAATCAATCTCTATTCTACCACCGCCTGTATACTAAACATGGCTGTATTTCCAAGTTCATGAAATCTATACTAACCTTCAGCATAAATCGAATATCCATTTCGCGTACTAGAACCACATCTGTTTTACAGCCGCTTCTCAACAAATAGCCAATGCAGACCTTTGGCTACCGACTGGAATATGTCGATGAAATTCAGGGCATCGAGAAATGCCCTCCAGCCAAGGAAGCCACCATAGTTCTCAACAGCTTCTGGGAAAGTGTTGATTCGAGTGCCAATGTCAAGCATCACGATGCTAGTAACAGCCTGTAGTGCCCGATCTTTTCTGGAGGTTTCTATCACACTATAACCGACCCAAGGGTATGCAAAAATATGAAGCGTGGCGACAATGAGCATTTCGAAACACAGCACCAGATTTGGCAGTCCGACTGCCAAGGAGGGATAGGAAACCTTTTCCGATGGCTTGATGGGGCTGTTTTCGGACCCTACTAATGCATCGAGAACAATCTATGCTTCACAGTCAGCATGAGGACGGACAGAAAGAGATAGCGGGTTACTGCTGATTTTGTCTTGGTGTGACAAGTATTTACCGTTTGAATGAAAAGTAGAAAGATTATAATTTTGATTGCCGAAAACTTGAGAACAGGTTTGTGAGGCTTCAAATCGCTTCGGCATTGGATATAGAATTGAATTAAACAATTCATGGCAAATAAGAGGGACACTACTTGGATCATGTTGATCTACGCTCTCAAATTGTCAGTGGATATTGTATGATTTCATGCAAATACAAATAGCGCGTGGATTCTTACCCAAAAATGAGCGAACTGGATGCCATTTGACTCTGCACAATAGATGCCAACAGCTTCCGTTATGAGCAACGCGATCGTAGACAATAGCTTGATAAAGCTATATTGAAAAATACAAAACCATATAATCTATGCTCGTTAGCGACAGAGATTTTTAGCTATAGAGAGTAAGCCAACCTACGCTAAACCATTTCACACCAGCGTTGGCTTCGCGTGGAACATTGCGGGACTTTGAGCAAGGTCGAAAGCAGAACTTGAATGGTTTTAAGAAGAACCAATCTTTTATCTCTACTGAATCAAATGATCTTCTAAGGGTCCCCTCATGAGGTTGAAGATATTGGCAGAGGAGGGTGAAGAATGCTGCAAGGACGAAGGCTTCGTATAACTGGTATATGCCCTTGAGTATAACATGATGTTGAAAATAGACTATGGAAAGCCAGGCACTTAGGCTGAAGACTGGCACCATCAAGCAAATACGTATAATCCTACAGGACTTCGTGAGCATTACTACCCCTTTGACCATCAATGAATTGAGAGCAAGACATACTGGCGTTGTTCGTGCGGTTTTGTGTAATTGGTAGTGTGCTTAAAGACTTGATAGAACGAGAGCAAACATGCGGAGCCGGCGAATAGAAGTCCCAATAAAACGATGAACTGATGAACAGTGAGAAAGCCAACGGCTTCTAGATTCGAGACTATGATGCCACAAATCACCGTTAGTCCAGTACGAACTTCTGCACGTCATACTAGGACCTACTCGGGACCTTAAGCCCATTATCGTCGCATTGACCGGCCATCGTTGTCGTTGGGAGATTGAGTTGTCTGCGAGATTTTATCTAAGAAGCCCAGCACAACGTTAGACTATTTCACCGGGGAGACTAATTAGTTGAGACGCTAGAAGGGGGATTTATCTTGCATTCGCTAGGTACAGAAGTGGCAGAATCCTGCCTAGAAGTCATATGCCGGTGGGATTATGAAACCATCTGGGGGCACTGCATGCTTGGTGGCCCTCCCCTTGATACCCATGTCTCATAGATACGGTAAAGACCAAGTGGGTCGTTCTTTAGGCCATTGATTGCCAAAAGTGTTTGTGTTGAAGATGCCAAGACCGACGGGATGTCGTCGCATTCGTATTCTACCGTGCCAAGATGTCTTAGCCAGCGTCTGGTCAAAGCTTACCAAATTTTTGGCGGGTATCATGATGTCAGGATTCTCTGCGTTATGCGTTTATCAGCATGCTAAAAATAGGATCAGCGGGACTTGTAAGCTAATACCTTTTTCAAAATTCTTGTTGTCATAGATGCCTACATTTTCCAAGTGAATCCTTGCCTATCTAGCTGTTGCAACATGCCCAATTCTCGCTCACGTTATTTCATCCCGATCCGTTTTACTAGGGGACAAGTACGCATACAATGGCCCCTTATCCCATAACATATATATCTTCTGTCTCTCGAGCCAGTCTCTGCTCGAGTCAGCTATCCTAAGATCGAAATTCCAAAGAACGCGCGACATAATCAACCTCATTTCCACATAGGCTACGCTATATCACTGTCAATAGACCATAGACTGCTAGGGGAGGGAGATATTCTTACTTTTTTCCCAAACAATTCCGCGGTCCAATATGAAACGGCTGGAATGCGTTTTTGTTGTCATCGACGAAACGCGGATCATCTAGGAACCGTTCTGGATGGAACTTGAATGGATCATGAAAATGATTTTCGCTATGGTACATGGCCCACTGGTGTATCGCAACTATGGTCTGGAAGGGTTGACTTAGTCTTTAACTCATTGACTATCACAGAGTTCAATAATAGATTGAAGCATGTACCTTGTCGGGAACAAAATGGCCACAAATATTGGCACCCCCGTTCGGGACCATGCGTGGCAAACCAAGAGCTACTGGAGGATATAAACGAAGGGCTTCATTCAGACATGCTCTTAGATATCTCAATTTGTTTGTCGAGTTGATGTCGATCTCGCTCTCATTCTTGAAACTCGATCTGATTTCGTCAGTCAACGTTTTGAGATGCTCTGGGTTGGTTAGAAGAAAGTAGGTGAGACCCCCGAGGAGAGTGGCAGTAGTTTCGGAGCCAGCAATGATAAGTATACTACTGTTTGCCTCCAGATTCTCCAAGGGTATACCCTAAAAAGGTGTGAGCGAGCGCATTGTGTTTAGCTCCTAGGGTATCATGCCTTACCAAGTCGTCCTTGACCTTGAGTAGACCCTCAATGAAATCTGGCCTGCCTGTCAGCTTAGTGGCCTCCATACGCTTTAGTAGCTTGGATTTCGTCATTTCCAAATGCTGCTCTCGTCGTCGCCTTCCAGCCCTAGTTGAAAAGCAAGCCATAATTATTTGTCTTAGTGTAGGGAAATAGCTGGCTGTTTGAACGACAGTGCCCACTCGGGCCATTTGAAAGATGGT